CGCTGCCCATTCTCTCTTTTATGCCAAATAATATCCTCCTCCTGCCGGAACAGAGTTGTCCTTGGCACTTGGAAGTAAACGTGAGGAGGGAATCAAAACAGGACGCCTGAGAAAGGAATCCATAAGAAATCTGAAGGCAGGGACATGATAAGAAACAACACAGACAGATGGGTCGGTGGCAGGAACAAAGATTAACTGTACCAGAGGAGATGGCTCCTAAAACAGGGATGAATGAGAGTCGGAAGTGGGCTGGGTTGCCAAGCTGCAGAGACACTTCCATGTCCCTCACCTCCACTCCGAGGGGCTCGAAGGAAGGCCCTGCCCAGCCCAGGCTTGTGGCTGCCCTAGGACAGGCTTCTGGAAGGACACTCGTGTCCAAATCAGCGAGGCTTCATCTTGTGATGTCAAAGCTCTCCCCTTGTGAACCATCCACACTCAGAGTGCTAAAACCTAATTGGAGAGATTATTCTTTTCCCTCCACTTTCAATTACACTGGAATTGACCTGGGGGACTTGGCAAGTTTGACAAATGGCAGAAGAATTTAGAAGAACTCCCTTGCTGGCAAAGGGAAGCCAATGATTGGGCAGAAGCATGCTGCTGCTGTTCCTTGTGTGGTGAAACTTTAGATTTCAGGCAGAAATGTCATGTTTCTTTCAACTCTTTTCACATCTAATCCCCTGGTGCCCATCTGCAAGCTCCTCAAGTCTATAGCACTTGGGTAAAGAATATTCAGTTCCCTGCTGTGGCAAAAGCAATGTCATCACACACACCATCCATCCCAGCTAAAGGCATCACTGTGTCGACATGAATCACCAGGCAGAGACGGCCACACTCGCCCAACTCTGGAATCCTTGACTCATCGGGGACTCACGTACACTACTACCTACTATTTACGCAAGCACCTTTCTCCAGGTGGCCTGAAGCCGTTTACAAGCGAATGGCTCATTCCGCATCATGTTGCTTGGGGTGGGGTGGGGGGGGGACAAAAGATGGAGAAAGAGGAAGGGCAGACAGACATAACCATCTGCATTTTGAGTGGGGAAACTGAGGCTCAGACAAGCCTCACAGTGAAGTGTATAGACATCTATGAGTCAGACACTGCCCAGGGAAGAACCAAATCAAGATCTTCTGAATCCTAAGTGGACTATTTTCTTGCCCAACAATTTCATGCAGCTGTTCTTTTTTTTTTTTGTCTTTTTTCGTGTCCGGCAATGGATCGCAACCCTCAGTGTCGCGC